GATTCTTTACTCTCTTGGCTTCTTCCCTTTTTGATTCTCGAAATTTCGTTGCTATTTGCTTTCTTCATCACTCATGGATCCAAATAGAAGTCACTATTCAGACCATTATTCTTTCTAGAGATCTGGCGGCATTAGTCAGACTTTGTCAGGGACCGCAAGCACCCAGGCTGCTATAAGACTAATTGTATCCCGATTAACTTCCGCCTCTTCTCTTGTTAAAATTTTGGTCGACTCTAAGTTTGGGCCAGACGAGTTTTACCAACGGTTTGTTCGGCAGGTTTCCATTTGTTCTATTTGGTCTTTGAACTCGCTTAAGGAAGGGAATTTATCTTTAATGTTACGGCGCGTCTTACTGGATGCTGCTCGTAGTTGATGTAAAGTATTGATCACGCAACTAGATGTTCCATAACAATGGTAAAGTGCCAGCTTAGCAGAGCGATACAAAATATGCACTGATATCTGTACTTTGGGTATATGAGTGAAATAACAGGATGATGTTACGGCTTTGTTTTGCTAAAAAGAGGGTTTCATTAATCTTGACGGTAAGATTTTATTTTTTGTTGCATTGTATATTGATATTTTATTAACTTTTTTTTATTTAGTTATTTCATCATCACGCAAGTTTGGTTAATTTGCTGAGTTCTGATCAAACTTGTGAGTGATGATTTCATTAATCATTCAGTTTTCAGCATTTTTCTTTTTGGACTTGGTAGTAGTTGGTTAGTTTTGCTAACCGGAACAATTAGACGACTAGGACTAGCGAGCAATTTATTCAGCACCATTCCTCCACAGATTTGCCAACGGTTCGTTCAGCGTGGGTTTATGTCCACATTGTTCCTCCCCCTTTGTCTGATGAATGGCGAACCCTCATATATTTGGACTTTGACTTGATAAGGCTTCTTAATAATATCGATCTTTATTAAAAAAATCCTTCTCCTTAAAAAAACTAACACATAAAAAGATCTCACATATAAAAATAGAATACCTATCTATAATAAAAAATTAAAATCTAACAGCTCGCCTTAATAATACCAATATCTGTTTCTTAGAAAGAATTTTCATCCATCGTCTTAATAATATCAATATCTGTTTCTTAGAAAGAATTTCATCCATCACCTTAATAATATCAAGATCTGTTTCTTAAAAAGAATTTCATCCATCACCTTAATAATATCAATCATTAGATTATAATAATAAAAAAATCAGCTAAACAATATTTTTTTCTAGTATAAGTATTACCATGATAAAAAAATAAAAATAATACTTATCTTTCATAATAATATTGATTTATAATAAAAAATTAAAATCTAATATCATTTTTCAATTAAAAAATCCCACAATAAAAAAAATAAAACTTTAATACTAATATCGATTTATAATAAGATCTTTGAAAAAAAACTAATACATAAAATGAAAATAATAAATCAATTATTATTTGTAAATGTATTTTTCATAATAAAAACCTGCTACCATAATTACGTCACCTCCCTACCTTCATGATTCGGCACAAAACTTCATTCTTGTAGATCTAATGCGTAAATCTGTTTCTTGACATGTCATACGTATCTAGACAATTAACAAAAATCATGAGTCAAAGTAATTCGCTTCAAGATACCCACTCACCCAATATGCTTAAAATAAATATACATAGCTAATTTTGATCATTTTGCAGAAGTTCCAAGCATTATCTTTCAAGATCAAACCTGCAGTACATGCCATAATGTTAAAAAACCTGAAAACTTTTACCATTCTCGTGGTGAACGTCCTCCGCAAAAGTTCGCAGTCTGCAATCAATGTTCTGAGAGACGTAAAAATAAATATCAAGAAATTGATATAATCTCCAGAAAGAAAATAAAATTTGAATCCAAAATAAATGATTTTATTCCCAGTACAGATGTCAATAACTTGGAAGAGCCGAATATGTTGGAAGATGCCAATTTTTTTGGAAATCGAAATCCAGAAATATCATCTCCAGTAGAAGAGAATATTGATAGTGAACAAAATAACATTGGTACTGCTGAGCTTCTATATGACATAGATGAAGTGCAAAAACTTGTTGCGAGACTCTTCCAAGAAGCAGAACAAGACAATAAACTCACCAAGATAGTCTTCAAAATTGAGTTAGAACCAAAATTAGTTGATATTATTTCTTTAAACCATCTCAATTCGCAGTCTACAATTGATCTAAAAGAAATTAAAGATCAATTTCGTCAACTTGTCAATACTCTCATTCTTCCCATCGAATCTGGATCTGGATACTATTGAGAAATTCGCAACTTGTATTTGAACACACACAAAAAACAGGTTATAGGCTGTGCCACAGTGTATTTTGCATGTGTCCAACGGGAAGACCGTCGATGGCAAAGACCAGAAGATCAACCAGCAAAATGACGAAGTGAAGCTCGTACTCCCATTGAAAGATATGCCTGTAAGGGAGCAATTACACTCATCATCAATCTACAGCAGCAACGTGCACTTGTGCAAGGTAATCATTGAAAGGCACACAAACATCCACAACATAGAAAAATCGAATTTCCAGAAGAAGCAAAAGTCTGGATTTAAAATAATATTGCTCTTAATTTGCGAAGCATGGAATTATACCAGCAGCTCCGTAATCTCCAGCTTATTAATGCTCAGTTACATACAAAAGAACAGGTTTATTTTTGGGCATCAGTATTTAGCAAGAAAACATATGTTTTGAATTCAAAAAATCAGCTTTTATCTGCAAAATCTTACCTTGAACAGCCTACATTTATGTTCAAAGGGTTTAAGATTCTATGCTATCTGGAAAATGATTTTGTGTGTGCTTTAGGGTATATAACACCATTATTCAGTCAGATTGGTGCTTCAAATATCAACGAGATTGTTGTAGATTCAACATTCAAAACGAACCAAGAACGGTTCAAGTTGTTTGTTGTTAATGCAAACTGTGGCGGCTACAGTATGCCAGTCACATATCTCTATTTCTTGATAACTAATGGTGCTGAAATAACACTCGTAGATTCCAGAAATAATATAAAAACCCGTGTACAAGTTCTATGCGATTTTTTTGTCAGTCTAAGGCAAGAAGAATTGCTTCCAGCATTTGCTTTGACTGACAAAGATGCTGGAGAAATTGCGGCAATAAGTGAGACATGATCATGGATGACCAATATTCAGTTGTGCTACTGGCACCTGGAACACGCGATTAGTAAAAAATTAAAAGAAAAAAAATCAAAAAAAGACACATATACTATAACAAGGGCTTCTGATGCTCATCAAAAATTTGCATTTATCGATCCCTTGTGGATTCCAACAAGAAATGCTGGAATCTTTTGCCCAGAACATCTAATCAAAAATTTGTTGAACATGATCAAATGGCATGCAAATATGCTTCCGTTAATACTGATAGCAAAGAATACTTTTTTGAACTCGGAAGGGATTTATCACTTCTGTGTCCAAGAAACCTATCAATTCTGTTACAATAATGGTTTTATCAGGCTGTGGGGGTATCTGTAGTCATGCTGGTATAATAATAAAGACTGGAAACTTTTTGTGCGATCAGCATATTCAGTGGCAATACCATTAGCGCGAACGACTATGATAACTGAAAGCCATTGACGTGTCTTGAAGTATGATTATAAGTATAATTATAATAGACCCCATCTTGATCACCTTACTCAAATTGTGGCAGAATATTTAATACCAGATTTTAAGATAAAACTAGACCAGTACAATGGGAATTGAGATTTTCCATCATGGTGGAAAACATTCAAAAAAGATTGGGACAACGCTGCAGTTAGAGAAATTCAACCTAATATAGAGGAAAGATATCATATCGATATTAGTAAGTGGATATGTTCTTGTGAAGCATATTTACGCAGTCCCTATCTTTTGTGTAAACATCTTGTTTTCAAGAAGAATGGCAAAGAATTCTTGCCTACCTTTATGAAAACAGTACGGCAGCATGATTATCCTTTGCTTGCCTTCGGAGATAACATACCACCAGCGATTCTTCAAGAGAATCATCCTTGGATAAGGCATAATTCGTTGATTGTGGAAGAAAATTCCCTTCAAGAAGAAAGCTCCAGTTTGGATCATCTACAGCATGTATCTGAAATTACAAGACACGAGATAATGGAGAGTTGACGTGAGGAACTTGCGAAATGGAAGAGAATTATGGAAGAGGGATTTGCTCTTTGCGAAAGAGAGTTGGACAATGACAACTTCGTAGAGGGCTTTCGTGGTTTGATGAGACCAGTTGTAAAGACAATTGGGGAGTGTGATAAGGTACTGCAAGCTCGTAGGCAGCAAAAAACTTGGGAAAATGATGGGAAATTAGCCTTTTGGTTGCGTTGATTATAGTATTATATAACTAAAGAAATATCGAGATCATAAAAAAATATTTTAATAAATTATGTAATTTTTGTTGGTTTTAAAATGAAGAAAAATAAGTTGCAATACGAGAACTATTATTTGAAAAAATTGGTGATGACAAAAAACTGTATATTTTAATTACTACTTATCTGCTTATCGTCTTCAATATGCTATATACCCGAAGTACAGAGATCAGTGCATATTTTGTATTGCTCTGCTAAGCTGGCACTTTATCGTTGTTATGGAGCGTCTAGTTGCGTGATCAATGCTTCACATTAACTACAAGCAGCATCCAGTAAGACGCGCCATAACATTAAAGATAAATTCCTTTCCTTAAGTGAGTTCAAAGGTCAAACAGAACGCATAGCTCTAAATGGAAATCTGCCAAACAAACTGTTGGTAAAACTCGTCCGGCCCAAACTTAGAGTCGACCAAAATTTTAACGAGAGAAGAGGCAGAAGTTAATCGGGACATAATCGGTCTTATGGCAGGCCTGGACGCTCGCGGTCCCTGACAAAGTCTGACTAATGTCACCAGATCTCTAGAAAGAATAATGGCCCGAATAGTGACTTCTATTTGGATCCATGAGCGATGAAGAAAGCAAATAGCAACGAAATTTTGAGAATCAAAAAGGGAAGAAGCCAAGAGAGTAAAGAATCAAAAATATTAAATTTAATAAATGGCAATGTTGTAAAGCTCTGGCTCATAATTGCGAATTTCCTTTTGAACTACAAGTACACATAGTACATATGTCAAATTATTTATTTGGTGATACGGAAATTTGTTAATCAACTTAGTATTACTCGATTACGGAGACTGGTCAGAAAGGTCAGTTCACACAGAGTCACGTGCACCGCACTTTTTTTTTTGCCATGGTTAGGATACTAAGTGCCAGGAGTTTGTATTACCAAAATAATGATCTATGTGTAACAGTTATTGATTGGCCAGGTAGAAATTAAATTTATTTCTTTTATTTTTAACATTATTATTATTATTATTATTATTATTATTATTCAT